GGGGGGGGCCGCCTCCATCACCTGACTACCGACGGTGCCAGCAGGAGGGGCCCCCTGCTCAGATACCCCCTCCAACCTCATCAGAATGCTGATGCCAAGAGCGAGCCGCCAAGACGAGTCCTAATTAGCCTTAATGAGCTTTCTTTTAAAAGGCCTAACGTGGCCATAATCACACAGCTAGGCAGGGCGGACGGACATTCCCGGGGGACGGGGGGGGGCAGCTTATCCTGCTGATGGAAGCGTGCACATGAAATCCTGTCACACACACACACACCTACACACACGCAGGTTTGTAATTATATATTCCTGGGGACTCTCCAATCATTTCTATGGGGAAAACTCTAATCCCAACAAGACGACCTTAACCTCTACCCAGCCCTGACCTTAACCATAAGTAACCAAACTGAATACGAGACTTTTGGCTTTTTTAGTCTTTTGATTGCATTCACAGATGTTTGTGGGGACCTGAAAAATGGTCCCCACAATGTCAAAATAATAGGTTTTTATCACATTATGGGGGATATTTGGCCCCCACAACGTAATATAAACCTAATTCACATACACACACACACACACATACACACACACACACACACGTACGAATGCCAAGGCAATCTGGCAAGTTTACAGCCAGTACGCATGGAGACACTTTTAGAACAGCAACTCACCATTCTTCAAAATCATTTATAGCCTTAGAGGCTTTTATACAAAATAGACAATGAAGTTTTGAAATATACTTCAGACATATATCATTTATACAAAACAAATGATGTAAAGGGTACAACAGCCGATCTCCTTCTGGTTTTTCAGAGTCAGGGTGCTGAGTGCCTGATCTGTCTGCCCACCTTCATGGTTCTGGATGACGCTTCCTGTCGGCTTTCTGTTCTCCTGTTTCCGTGACCTGAACCTCACAGACTCCTCGCTAAACCTCCAGACTGATCCGGAACACTCCAGAGTCACCTGAGCAGGTAAGAAGGGGCATCGACGTGCCAGGCATCGCTGGGTTTGTTTGCATATAAGTATTCGGGAGATGACTCTGTTCCCTGCAAACAAGCTGTAAAACATGGCAGTACTACACTTTTTACGTAAGAACAGTCCGGGCTTCTTCATAAATATCAAGGCAGGATTAGCGAGACAATACGTGTGGTTGGTGGAAATGACACTATCAGTATGAGTCGTAGTCGCCTTGAGCGCCTCTGAAGGGCTGAAGGCAGACTAAGTGAGGTACATTATTTCCCCTGGTTTCATCAGCAGGCCGCCGTCGGGGAGTTCAGTCAGGCGTGGGGCGTCGCCGTCTGCCGAGAGCACGAGGCCGCCCGGGGGAGTGGGGGGGGGGCGGGGGGGTGCTTCATCACACGGACCTGGCTTCCTGTATGTGTCTCTATGTGAGGGTGGCCATTTCTGTGGGGCTGCTCTTCAACCGTGCCTGGAGCCCAGGGCCCCTGGGGATGACGCTGTTTCAGGGGCCCCTGGTGATAATGCTGTGTCCGGGGCCCCTGGTGATGATGCTGATTCTGGGGCCCCTGGTGATGACGCTGTGTCCGGGGCCCCTGGTGATGACGCTGTGTCCGGGGCCCCTGGTGATGACGCTGTGTCCGGGGCCCCTGGTGATGACGCTGTGTCCGGGGCCCCCCATCGTAAAGCTTCTCACAATCGGCTCCACCGACGAAGCCTCTGCTGTCTCTGTATGGTCTGGTTTACTGCGAGTACAGGTGCAAACCGGGACCTAAGCTCATGCTGTGTGGTGTTTCCATGCCCTGCCATCATACGGGGGGGTAGGGTGGGGGGGTGGTTTCCCCCAGTGCACCTTCCCTGCCAAGTTAAAGTGCAGGTTCATCATCATCTGAAACTCTTTTATCGCCCAGCTTGTGTTCCATGAGCATTCCCTTCATTTGTAGAGAGACTGTCCTTGATAAAAGGCGCCAGAAAAGACTGGCAGTCTGGCAGATTCGCCGCCCAAATCCTGAAGCACTGAGCGAGATCCGCTTGCCTGGCAAAGGGCTTTTCGGCGATACGGCTGCAGACCAGGGTCCTGTGGCCCGGAAGGCCTGATACGACTCACAACTCGAAATGGCACAAGGGCAAACCCAGAGCCTCAGACCATTTTTATTCCAGAAGGATTTATGACAGTCCAGTGATTCGGAGTGAATTTTCTCCATTATAGCATCGAAGTTGGGGGTGGGGGGGACTGCCCTAGGG